TAACTGTCTATTTAAACTAGTTAAATTCATAAATTGATTACAAAATAAACTAATTAGTTAATGCTCACCTTTGTTTATCTAACCACCCCAAGTGTGGACAGGAAAAAAGTTTTATCTAACCGACGCTTCCACCAGCATCGAAAATGAAATTTTCATAAAATCCTACCTAAGATTAAATTGTGTGGGAAATGCGTTAACGGCGAGCTAGCTCTTTCAATCGGCGTGTGCAGTACCACGAGCCACAAATGAGGGGTGCCTATCTATATAGCTCAAAACTGAAAGTTCCTTCCCACATATTCTACTTTTTGTCACGCTTCTGCCGCCTCCTAAAACGGTTTTATCGATATGGTAGATAATCCGTAAGACCGTAACAAATATATAGGCAAACGAATTACGGGCCTGCGCAAGATAACAATTACCGGGACCCGTACTATTCAGGACAGAATTTATCAAGGAATAACTTTGATGAATTAATTATAAGTCGTTGGAAGTATCTTTTAAAAATATATGATTTGGGACACAATTTTTTGGGATTCATATTGGCAAGAAACATACTTTTCCGGACAAATTTTGTCAGAGCAGTTTTATAAGCACTTGACATACTTTCGGTTACCCTGTGACCAACTTAAGGTGGTGTTGCATAGCAAGTCGAGGAATATTTTCGTTTTTTTTGCCCGAGTGCAGCGCAGCTAGCGATTGGCCTCGCCGGCATCATTGTAAATTTTTTACACAATTTCATCAAATTGGTGTCACTGGCGTACTTTAAAATACTGTCCCGATTCATACGGTAGTTCTGTGTAGGATGGTTTCGAGAAAATAATCTCCTGACTCCTGATAAAAATATTCCCATTAAATAAAGGTCTTGTAGAATTTATAGTGTTAACACAGATATATAAAATTTTTTATTGTTAATGAAAAATATCGTTCTGATATTAATTTTCTTGAAAACTAATTTCCGGTTTTTTACGGACCTCCCGAATTACCTTATCTCGACTGTATATTGATGTTCTCGGTACCTATATCTATAATCGCTTGACTGCTTATACCTAACCAGTCATTGGTCATTAGATAGTATACTTATTTCATTATTTGATATTATATTGGTAACAAATAACAATGTATCTATCTACGATATAGGTTAGGTTATGCGTAGGCATTCTCATTTGGACAGCAGTAACTCTTTTGCGGGAGATTTCGACTTTTCCGCTAAGCTGTCGGAAAATAAAACATATATTTACACTTAGTAGTGTACCTAAGGAAAAATATAATTTTCTAACTTTCAACCGGCATTGAAAATTAAACTTTCGATACAGGCGTATCTAACAAAAGAATTTGAACCCATTTGGTTAATTAGCTATTAAAAAAAAGCTAGGTGTGTACAGTGGCGTAATTTGGCCATGTTTGGGGGGGGGGAGATAAAATATTTTAACATTTTATCTATACCCCCCTCCCATGGAATAAATTCCGATTAAGTGTACAAATCGATAAGTTATTTTTAGTTCAATAGGACTACGGAAAAATATTAGGATAGGATAAGATAGGACAGATATGACAATACTACAATAGTCTTTCGATCGTTGTCGATCCACGATAAAATAATACTTTACTGCTCGGTGGTTAGTACCACTACACAATGCATAAACAAACTCATAACTTACACAAAACATATTCATATTGCAATAGTGATACTTATAAACTTGCGTGGCTGCATTTAAAACGAACTAGGTACGAAGTATTTATGTACAACTAGCATAAAAGATTTGTTTTTTTTGTATTATTTCTATAATGTATAAAATATAGGCTATTTATAAT